ATATATATATATATATATATATATATATATATATATATATCTCCATGGGGGATTTTGGTATCCATGGGGGATCCTGGAACTAAACCCCAGTAGATACCAAATCTCCACTGTAATTCTTTTTTTAAAAATAAATTTCCAAGCTCTGAATATCCCTGCCTTTCTGAAACTTAGCAGATAACAATAGAAAGACAGAGATGGATGGAGGAGCAGATAGCATCTCAGTTGACATTATGATTGAAAAATGGCTGCTTGTCTACAAACTCTGCAAGGTACAAAGAGAGGTACAAAGAGAAACTGTTTGTTGCATCATGGAGGACCTCATAAATCCACTGCAGCTCAAGCGAACACAAGAGTAATCAGGGGAATTTGGGCTTTGTGAAAGAAAAGGCAAATCAATTACAGTCACCCTTCTATTTTCGAGGGGATCTATTCTGGACAACCCCCCCCCCAAAAAATGGAAAATAGCAAATATTCAAGCCCCATGCACCATTTTGTCACTCTCTGTTTGCTGCTCACAAAGATACATGCACCATTTTGTCACTCTCTGTTTGCTGCTCACAAACGGGTGAAGGACACAGCCACCAAGTCCGTGAAAACAGAGGGGCAACTGTATATCAATTCAAAATAAAAACATTGGTATACCACAGATGCAGCAAAGAATATTACTGTAGGCTCTAATTTTATTTATTAATTAATTCTTACTTCTTCTGCTATATCATAGTGGTGGATAAAATACTGGCTTCTAAATAGATCTCTGACAGTTATTAAAAAATTCCTTTGGCTAATCCCATGACACAATGTTAAGGGACAGCAGAAGCTTTGTAAATATCAGCAAGTCAGTTTTTGCTTTTACTAAACCAATTTGATTTCTCCACCCCACCTCTCTCTTGTCATTTATGAACAGGTCTTTGAATTGTAAAAACTCATACAATCTGCAAACCAGTTCTTTCATCTGGAGCATGTTCATACTTCATAATAACAGCACCTTGATATCATTTCAGCTACCATGGCTCCATCCTACAGAATCCTGAGATTTCCAGGTTGGTGAAGTGCTTTGAATTCTCTGCCAGGAAATGCTGCATTGTAGTTCAGCAGGAGAGGACTCTTTAGTGAATAATTCTTTTTTTTTTAATTTTATTGATTAAAATGACAAAACAATACATATAAAACCTTTCATACATGTACATACACACTTACTTATACTTACTTAATTTACTTCATTTTGACAATTGTAACATCTATAATACATACATATGTTTCTTTATTCCTTTAATCTCTTAAAGAAAGAATAAATTTCTCAAGAAAAGGAAAAAAGAAAAAAAAACAATCCACTAAATTCTTTCTTTGTTTGTCGATTCTTCTTCCTTATTCTCACTTGTTACCTTCTTTATCTAACTTCCCTCTCACTCTCAATTCCCTTTCTTTCACTCTTCTCTCTTTCCTTAACTATTCATCCTGTTACTTCTCTATCCTTTATTCCTTCTTAATTTCCTTTATCAACATCCTCCCTCCTCACTCATTCTTTCCTTCACCTATACTACTTACTCTTACCTTCTTCAACTTACTTATCCTTCTTCAACTTGCTTAACCTTCTAATTATATCTCATCTTATTTTCCCCTTCATTCATTCTTTCAATATTTTACTCCCTCTCTGACCTCCTACATATCTTCCTTGGGTTAGTGGAGAAAATATGTACCAAGCATTAGAGAATGGATTTTGAAATTATATGATACAGTCAAAATGGACAGACTTACCAATTATTTAAAAAATAATTTGATTGAAAACTTCAATGAAGAACGGACACCAATTATATTATATATTTATATATATATATATATAAATTATATAAAAAAACGAATGGGGGAATTTGGGAGCAATAGCTTTTTAGCGAATAATTCTAAGTGCTTCACCAAACTATGAATCTTAGGATTCTATAGGATGAAGCCATAATGGCTAAAGTGGTATGAAAGTGATATAACCAGGTATGTGGAAACATCTTTGGATGGGGCCTGAAGCCTGCACAAGCACAGTTTAAGAAAAATGCTGACAAGCTCGAGTGTGTCCAGAAGAGACAGTCAAAATGATGAAAGGTTTGGAAACATGCCCTATAAGGAGTGATGTAAAAGTGTTTACCCTGAAGAAGAGAAGGTTAAGGGATGACATGATAGCCATGTTTAAATATCTGAAGGCATGTCATATTGAAGATGGAACAAGCTTGTTTTCTGCTGTTCCGGAGATTAGGACATTGAGCAATGGATGAAAACTGGAGGAAAAGAGATGCCACCCAAACATTAGGAAAAATTTCCTGACTGTAAGAACTGTTTGACAGCAGACCACACTCCCTCAGAGAGTGGTGGAGTCTCCTTCTTTGGAGGTTTTTAAACAAAGGCCATCTATTGAAAATGCTACGATTGTGAACTCCTGTATGGCAGGGAGTTGGACTGAATGATCCTTGTGGTCTGTTCTAACTCTGTGGCTAGAAAACACTTAGGCACTCCTGGACTATCCTGACCTGTGCAGACAAGACCAATGTTTTCCTCCAAGAACTTTCAATTAGTCTTGGCCATGCACAAGATAAATAATTTAACAAAATCATAAAGTTGTATAGGATGAATCCCTCAATGTGTCTACAGGTTGTTCATCATGCCAGTAAGCCCCAGGGAGACCAGACAAACCTCAACAACATTGTAGCATTACAATATCTTGTCTGAGGTTCCTTTTGGATTCTCATCCCAGGAATACATCTGTGTCTGTGGGGCTTATTAACCAGACTGTATCAGCAGTTTGGATCACCAAGCTCATCACAGATGACAATTCCTCCATCTTCCAAAGTAGAACTCCCTGTTCTTCAGTCCGCTTCAATTTTTTACAGTCATTATTACATACTTACAGTAGAAGTGAGTGAAGTAAATAAATATACCTCCATGGTTTAAGAGTAAAAATAATAATTTGATGACATATCTGTACATCTTTATATTGGAGAAAAATAGCTAACAGCCTGGAAAGCTGAGCCTCTCCTGCAGTGATCATCATAAGATATACGCAGTACCTTTGAACTATTGAGGATGAGTCTCAGCAGTAGTTGGTGGCTTCCATGTCAGTGGGGCAGTGAACCCATGCCAGGTTTTAGAATTAAATTAAAAATGCTATCTAAGGGGATGAATTTATTTGGGAAGACAGAGTTCAGGATGCTGGACAGCTCCTTTATAGTTTGGACAAAACTCCAGAGTGGAGCCATCCCCCATTGACGTGAAACCCACAGCCACCATTGACAAGTCTACTGCAAATAAAATTTGGATGGAAAATTTCAGACAGTTGTGCACAGGTAATACAAAGATTCTTTGCTTGTGCTTCTTCTCTCCCTATTCTCCCTCATGTTGGAGTGACATACTTCTCATGTTAGTTGGCATGGACTCTTCAAAACAACACTCCAGGAGGGGACCACAAAAGCAAATCATTCCACAATTCTTGGCAGATAATGAACCAATTGTTCCATTTGTTTCACAGAGGATTCTGTGATGCCTACAAAAGACCACTAGGTTCCCCATCTGTCTCTCAGTACCTAGGCAAGTTTGGTGAAGCTTCTTGCTGTGCATATCATTTTGTTCAGGGCTTCTCTGAATAAAGCAAAAGAAACTGTGAAGAGAAAAGTTTACTTTTTCTATGAGAGCATACCTCATAAAGCTGTTTTGAGAACTAAAGCAATTGATTCATTTCAGAACCTGTGGCAAAAAACTGCTTCAATTCATTATTTTATGTTTATTTAGTCACAAATATGCATAGATCAAAACATTTCAAAGTGGTGTGTGGCCTCAGGTGGTTTTTTGACTGTAGACCCTAAGGTGAACTTCCCATGGGTTTTCCCTGCAGATTTGTTCAGAGGGGGTTTGCCATTGCTTTCCTCTGAAGCTGAGAGTGGGTAGGTCTACACTGACAAGAATACATTGGCCTGCTCCTTGTGTATTCTAACCCTGAAGTTGCCCTGAATTTGCCCTATTACCTGCACACTCTGGAGTGATGATGTGCATCTATTTGCACAGTTTTCTGCTATGCCACCAGGCCACTGCCACTGGTACAAATAGCTCCTTCTGAGGCCAGAGATGAGGTGCCCAGGAATTATGTGGCTGGGCACCTTGTTGTGATCTCAGAGGGAGTGATTCATGCCAGCAGCAGTGGCAGCAAGCAGCACAGTGAGATGCTGCGTAAACTGCCACTTGGCTTTGCGCTGGAGTGTTCCAGATTTTCTTGGAAGATCTGGAGCAAATGGTGAGTTTTTAAAAGCCACTTTAATGCAGGGTGACCTCGATTCGCTGCAGAACAGCCCTTCCCAGTCCATAGTCAAGTTGGGGCTTTGGCCCCTACATCATGGTCAGGGCAACATGAGGGCAGGGGGAAACTGGTTTATTTGACCTGTGTAGACAGGACCACTGTGTGACTTGCCCAAGGTCTTTCAGTGGATTTTCATGACTGAGAGGGGATTCAAACCCTGGTCTCCCAGAGTCTTAGTCTGGCCTTCAAACCACTATACCATGCTGGCTCTTCAAAGTGATGTATATTGATAAAATATATAAAATATATTAATACACAGTATACAAATGAACATACACTTTCCCTATGGTCCATGAAATAGAAGTCGGACTAAACTACGAGGACTCACATGTTTTTGACAGGCCTTTGAAACTAAGAATAGTTGGATCTTGTCAAATTTGTGTAATAAGAGTGTGTCATATAGTGTGTGCCAACACACCTAAAATCCCTGCTCCTAACAAATGCATAGCAGACCTGGAGACATAGTGCCACCAGGAGGACCTCTCCAGGTGACCGCAAGGACTAGCAGGGCCTGTAAGGGAGAAGAAGGAGCAGGGAAAACATAACTCAGGCTGCATCAGCACTGGAGAAATAATCCAGGTTGACACCACTTTAATTGTCATGGCTCAATGCTATGGAATTCTGGGAATGATAGTTTTGTGAGGCATTTAGCCTTCTCTGTCAGAAGGCTCTGGTGTGCCAACAAACTGCAAATCCCAGGATTTCATAGCACTGAACCATGGCAGTTAAAGTGGTGTCAACCTGGATTATTTCTCTAGTGAGGATGCAGCCTCAGATAGTCAAGTCTCAAACTGTGTTTGAGTTAACCACTTAGCTCAGATCAGTCTGCAATGAGCCTACATGTGTACACATGAAGAAATACCATGATTAGGAAAAAAAAAGAATGGGAAAAACCTGCCAATTTTACATTCTTCTTCATTCAGATCCTTCTATCTTCAGGAGGAACAAGTTGTAAATTTTGTTAAAATCCTTCAGAAATGAACTGAAAGAAAATTCTCTGCCTTTTGCACCAATCAAATCCAACTATTTCTACTATGGAGAGGATCTTACTGTGTTCTAATACTCTCTCTCTCTCTGTGACCCTAAGGCAACCTTATAATGTGGTTTTCTTGGCAAGATTTCTTCAGAGAAACCCTCCTCTGAGACTGTGGTCTTACAAGGTCACACAGTGAGTTTTCATGGTCAGGTGGAAATTCGAACCCTGGTCTCCAGAGTCATAGCCAATGCTGTCTAATTAACAATTTGCTGCTTTTCTAAAGAGTGGGGAATAATAATAATAATAATAATAATAATAATAATAATACCATTACACCATGCTGGCCTCTTATAAGAAAGAGGTGAAAACATTAATTAATTACTAAGATGTTTGAATGTACAGGGATCCAAACACTGGCTTTTCAGTGTTAAGAGCTGAATTTCCTGGGCCTGAACAGATTTCCTCACTTTCAATTTCTCTCACATTCACATTTTTGAAATCTCAAGTGCACTTTTTCCTGAATATGAAGAAATTAGTAAATTTTGGTAACCCAAATTTATACAAACCGCAAACTGAAGCAAAATTTCCACCTATCCCTCATTGGGAACTCTGGGAGTGCAAGGTTTCCAATCATAAAGATATAGCCCTATGCTGAAAGTATAGGGATGTTATGAAATGCCCTTTCTTTTGGCATTTCATTCTTGATTGGACAGAAAAATGAACATTACTTTCTTGAACATTATACACTCTCAGACACAGAACTGAGCATCTTCAATTCAATGGCAATGATCAAATGATCATGTGGAGGTCCCGACACAATTACTACATACAGATTGCATGATTCACAGCTGTCTTCATTAGGCAGGAACAGTCTTGATTAATCCTCCATTGTCCCACTTTTTCTGCTGCTTTAAAAATGTCCCAGTTTCTCTCTGTTTCAGCCTTTGTCTTCATCTTATTTCAATAGCTGCAAATTGGGTTCAAAGTGCAAAGGTAGTTTATGCAGGGGGAGAGGAGACGAGCAGGAAAATCATGCCTTTCCCCATAGGCTCAGGCAAAAGCAAACTGCTGCAGCCCTTCTTAACTTGTTCTTTCTCAGTAATAGCATCTGCCATCTCAGCCGTACTTTGATGTTGCTTGGTCATATGCATCCTAGTTTTCATCTGTGAGATATTGAAGGGTATGAGATTGAACATTTTGCCAATGGGGGCTGTTGCTGTTTCTGTTTCAGAAGCCAAGGCTAATTTCTAGAATTCATCCTCAGTTTTGTTAGACCTCAGGAATAAATTCTGGGTTTTCCAAATTATTTCCCAAGGTTCATTCGAGGAGGTTCATGCATCTATTTCTTTTCACATAAAGCAGGATTATTATTATTATTATTATTATTAAAAAAATCCTACACCTATGTGAAATAGCCATAAAACACTTAGTTTACCTCCCAGGCTGGCCTTCATTGCAAATAACTCTCTAGTCTATGTATGCCATTGTAGGAAAAAGCTGAAATGCTTGTGTTTTATCTTGCAGTAAAACCCATAAAATGTTCCCAGTGGTACACAATTATGCCTCTGGGCCCATTTTCTTCAGCAGCTGGATACAAGTGGAATGAAAAGAAAATGCATATATCCTATGCATTCACTACTTGGGTATATTCTCTTAATAATGACAAGATAAACATTAATCACTTCTCATTTGGATTTTGCCTTAGATGGGCAAAGTGTGGTCCTGGGACCATGTATGACCCTTTAAGGTTGTATCTGCAGCCCTTCTGGGGATGTAACTATGGGAGGTCTGTGAAATGAGTACATTGCCCTCCATATAAGAATTCTATCACTCCAATCTCACTTTTCTCCAGTCCTCAGATTTCTAGCATTGCAAAGAATGAGATAATTGAAAATCATTCGTACCTAGAACTCTTAAAATTGCAGTGTTTCCATTTTCTTGGCAACTTTACCTGGGCTTTTCTTTGGACACTTAAACTATGGGTGCACCTGTACAGTTTTGATACCACTTTAATGGCCAATGCACCATCCTACACCATCTTGGGATTTGTAGTTTTGTGAGGTACAAGCATTATTTGGCAGAGAAGGTTAAAGACCATGTAAAACTACAAATTCCAGAATTCCGTAGGATGGTGTTACAGCACTCAAAGTGATGTCAAAGAGCATTATTTCTATGGTGTAGAATGCACCCTATATTTCCATATGCTCAACTGAAGTTTTAAGTTCCTGCAGTGCTAGACATTTGGGGAATGAAAAAACTCTTCTTCTGGAGAGGCAGAATTCTTATTTTTTTGGGGCAGGCAATGCCCTCAGTAAACAGTACAGACTGTGCATGACTGCTGATGAAAATCATGGAAGAAAGTGCAAAAGCAGGGTTACAGCTGAATATGAAGAAAACAAAAATAATGACTACAGATGATTTATGTAACTTTAAAATAGATGATGAACACATTGAAATAGTCAAAGACTTTCTGTACCTTGGCTTAGTCATGAATAAAAATAGAGATTGTTGTAATTAATTAATTGGAAAAAGCAAAAAGCCAAGCAGCTTCATTTATATACCGTTTCATATCACGCTATGGGATGTCTAAGCGGTTAAGGGCAGCTATGAAGGAACTAGACAAGATCCTTAAGTACAAAGATATATCTTTGAATACCAAAGTCAGGATTGTTCATGCCTGTTTCAGTGTATGATTGTGAAAACTGGACAGTGAAGAAGACTGGCAGGAAGATAATCAATTCATTTGAAAAGTGGTGTTGAAGAAGATATCTATGGACATCATGGATTGCCAGAACGACAAATAAATGGGTCCAAGAGGAAATCAAATGTTAACTCTTCCTAGAAGTGAAAATGACCAAACTGAGACTGTTGTATTTTGGACACAGCATAAAACAACATCATTCATTGGAAAAGACAACAATGCTTGATAAAAAGTAAACAGCCATAGGAAAGGAAGAAGATTACAGGTGTATTGACTCAATCAAGGAAACCAGGCATGCGTTTGCAAAACCGGAGCAGGGCTGTTGATGACAGGTGTCTTGAAGGTCTCTCTTTCATAAGGTCACCATAAGTCGAAGCAGATTTGATGACAAATATTGACGACAAATGCCCTCATATTGCCTCTCCCATACCTACACCCCTGTCTTGAGCTCTTTAGACTTTGCAGACCACTCCCTTTGTGACCAAAAAATGGTGAGTTTCATCTCTAGGGCTGTATCCACACTGCAGCAATAAACCCATTTGACATCACTTTAACTGCCATGGTGCAATGCGATGGAATTCTGGGAATTGTAGTTTTGTGAGACATTTAGCCTTCTCTGTCAGAGAGCTCTGGTGCCATAACAAACTACAGCTCCCAGAAACTCTGTCGCATTGTGCCATGGCAGTTAAAGCAGTGTCAAATTGGATTATTGCTGCAGTGTGGATGCAACCTAGAAGCCTCGAGGAGTAGTGATATAGTGTTTTCCCCCTTCCATAGTTTAATGTTTGAAAAATTCTGTTTTTGAAAACCCAAAGTATTGTTCTGGTCATTTCCAGGTTTGTTTTGTTTTTTATTTACTTATTTATTTAATTTATTCATTGGGTCTCTTGATGCTGAACCCACCATGACTTTTAACCTAAATTAAAATAAAGACAGCTGAAACCTGATAATAAACTAGTGTAAAAAAATAAAATA